CGGAGGCGAGTGCAGAGTGGGCCGTGTACAGGTGGGCACGGGCCCGAGGCTGGCCTTGCAGCGCTGCACGTGGTGGGGGTGGAGGCGTCCGCTGCGCCTGCGGCCGGCGTGGGAGGGCGTCTCACTTATCTACAAGGAGAGGCCCGTTCTCACGGGAATCCTCAAGGCCATTAAGGATGGAACGAGATTGCAAGTGACTCCCGTTTTTAGCAGTGTGTCCTAGCAAGAGGCTGAGCATGGTTTGTGGTTACGCATGAGCGAGAGCACACGACTGTTCTTTCCAGTGTGTTTGAGTAATCGGGCTTTTGTTCCTTTTAGTTACTCTTTCTCATATTTAGTAAAAAATAAGTTGTTAGGGAGATAGTGTGTTCATGGCAGAAAATACAGAGAAGAAGCAGCTTTTACATGTGCTCAGAGGGAAAGCCGTGATCCAGCTCTTGTCACGGGAGAAACGGTCAAGGGTGTCGTGGGCACACTCGGTGACTCCCTGTGTGTAAGCAAAGAAAGGCTCATTTGTGCAGAATAGCTCAGAAGACTTGCCCATATGAGACTCCAAGCTCAAAAACAATCATGAAATTGAGGTGCTATATTAACAGGGATGGTTTTTAGCCATGTTTAGCCTAAAATTAAATGTTTTTACGGGTAAGTGTGGCAGTGATTGACTCTCCGTGTTACCCATGCTGCAGAAGCTGAGCGCTGTCCCCTGTGCTCACCAGCTGAATGGGGGAAGAGACGCATGTTTTCTGCATCGTGTGTATTAACTCTGTCCCTTCAGCCCGAGCCCTTCGGAGGAGGGTGGCGGGAGAGTGGCTGGGGTCATCTTAGGCGACTGACGTTGGTCTTGGCATGTTCAGATTGTCTGTCCATCAGGAGCCTCCAGAGCCTTGTGAGCCGCACGGCCTGGCCCAGCCCTGCCCCGGCGGGACTGCCACACCGGCTGGTGGCTCCACTTACACACTGAGGAGGGTCCAAGAACTAGGACTCAGGCTGTTTTTGTACAGCCCACGAGCTAAGAGTGGCTTTGATGTTTTAAAAATTTGTAGAACAAAATAAAGATCAATATGCAACCTATTTGTACCTGTAGCTCACAAAGCCTGCGGTGCTTACTATGTGGCCCTTTATGGGAAACGTTTGCCCGGCCTGGTTGAGAGGGGAGACAGACGCTGTCCACACGTGCACAGAGCTGAGGGTGGGCAGCAGTGCACAGGCAGCCTGGGCAGCGCCTTGGGCCTGTCTGTCCTGGAGCAGGACGGGGAAGCCCGCAGGCCAGGGGCAGGGTCCTCTGTGTGGGAGGGCTTGTGGCTGTGGGAGGGCCAGCGAGGGGCAGCTGCAGGCATCTAGGTGGAGATAGGAATGGAGTCGGAGGGGCAGAAGGAACAGGAAGATCTGGGCCAGTCCCGAAGGCTTTAGGCAGGGAGCCGGGGGTCGCGGACGTGGGCTGGACGCAGGTGCTGAGGGCAGGCACCAGCAGGGCCTTGCTCAGAACCCCAGAGCTCCACAGAAAGCCGGAACCACCCTCCAGGCCCTATGGGGACCCATTGGAATCTTG